AAACCGCATTTGTTTACAATAATAACAAATTATGAGGTTTGGAAACAGTATTATGTTTGATCGTAGTAATATGTTTAGTTGAACGTTTCGGACTAAATATTTAGTTGAATAAAACAATTTTTTTCTCAGTATAGTTTTCTTTAAATCTTTGAGGCGATGGAATTACATACGTTTCCAATTTTTAGAAAATGCAATTACTGACGCAAATTTGCCTGAACTTACCCCAGAACTTATCAAAGAAATGATACCTCAAATTGGAATAAGAATGGAATTCTTGAAGAAATGGACGACGGAATTTAAGACAGAGAAAATGCCTCATGTTAGTGCACATATTATACATATACATTGTGTGCCAAAAAAAAACAATTTTTATCTTGGTATTCTTGGAAAAGACAAATAATTTTTTTTGCTTTTACCACATATGGAAAAAGTCTTTTAAAAATTTTATCTCTCTAGCTCAATTTTTTAAATATTATATTAGCGGAGTGGGAGGGGGTCCTGTTCTCTATTTTAATTTCATCAAATTTAGCTGTAACAGGCGTTCTTGAAGGTGTTTAAAAAAAATTTGATTTTTGCTTGTGCAAATTTTGCAATGGTTAAATTTGATATGACTTGTAGAAATACCAGGATCGCCCTATGTACCGGCGATCCTGGCGGAAGTGAGCGGCCTGTGGGCCGTAACGGTTGCTGTTCGTTTCCAGAGTCGATATTGGGCAGACGTTCATAAGGTGCGATTTCATTGTCGCTAGAAACCAGCGGCAGCGTCAAGAAAATGTAGTGGGGGAAGAAGTTCTGTTGAATTTTGCGGTACGCTAAAAAGTTGAGACGGTCTGAACCTCTTCCCCCACTACATTTTCTTGACGCTGCCGCTGGTTTCTAGCGTCAATGAAATCGCACCTTTAGTTTGTGTGCGTGGAATCTTCACCTATGTGCGCGGTGTCATACATAAAAATTGTTTTTCTCGTGTTAATTAAATAAAAAATGGGACTCCTACATGTGCTATTTGAAAAATCGAGATAGAAAGATAAAATTTTAGGAAGATCTTTTGATGCCTAAAACTAACTTTTTCCATTATAAGAATTAAAAAAATAACTTTTTTAAACACATTCTAATATACATGGGTATCGAGAATCAAATCCTTCCGATTTTGAGAAATTACTTTTATTCTTGAGCAATATTTATCTTGTACTATATTGACCAGGTTTCGGATTCGAGTACAGAAGTATCTGAAGCAAGATCTGAAATGGCAGAAAATCTATCACAAAGTTCATCTGAGGACACTTATAATTTAAAGAGACACAACACTTTTGCGAAAAAATTGACATATGCCTTAAGAACAAAAACTATCAATGTCAAAGAAATTCTATGTACGAACATCCAAGGAAAGGCGATTGTAAAATCTTATCAAAAATACAAGTCTTTGTCGCGACAATCTAGAATGCTAATTGTCGACATCATTCTGACAGAATTACTAAATGAAACCATCCAGTAATTTCATTTTACCATTTTTTATAACATGTATTTCCGTAATATATCAACATATGTTCATATATAATGTATTCATAATATATAGGTATTTTCATTTTTGCTTATTTTATATTTTTAGTTTGAAAAATGATGATTTTCTATACATATAGCAGAGGAAATAGTAAAACTTTTTCCTACCGAAGATACAAGCACATACTACATTCCACCAATTTCGAAAAAAATATCGCGAATTGGAAAATCTCTAATTTCACGTGGAAAATTAGTGGACAAATATCGGAACAAAACACGTGCCTTGAAACTCATTCATGAGTGGAAATCACCAGACGACCGTAGAACCGATAGTCCGGACTCATCCTCCGATGAAGGTAGCCTGTAGTTATATATTTTTTAAATATACATATGTATAAACTCAAAATTACATTCTACTTATTAAATTAATCGAATGTTTACATCCTAATTTCTGTATCATCTTACAGACGCTATTCTAGAAGCTAAAGCATGGCTGCAAAGTCATTCAATGCCATGGGAAATTGTTGTTACAAATTGGAAGTTGACGGCTGAATATCGACGAAAAAGTATAAAATCAAACCGCAATTTGAAATTGTCTCAAATTTTTGAAAGCTGGCCTATTCTTAAACATCCAAATGCATATACATTAATTGAAGAGGATTACTCATGTCTAAAATTATCAACGCGAGAATTAACATTGGAAAGTTGGACAACTTTTTTTACAAAAGTTTTAGCTGTTCGGCCACCAAAAAAAGACGATGACGCTGCGAAAGCTTTTGTAGAGTTGATTCAATACGACGAGAAATTGACCGACAGTAAGTATATTTGCCTCTAAATAAATATACAACGTATTCACCTTATGTAATTAATGTCATTTCATCAAACAGATGCAAAAGTTGTTGCGCAACTGAGACTTCTCCCACATCTACTTCCACCTAAAAACCGATTCCGTGTGAAAAAAATCAGTGGAAACCATCGATACCTGAATGTAAAGATAGCCTAATTATTTCAACTACTGTAAGTATCATAATAATTAATATTCATCATATTCAAGTATACAATTACTGGCCTCTATATAGTACAATTTTTTGCAGTTAATAGCAGACATCACGAAAATACAAGAAGAAAAGAGACAAGCAGCCACGAATCTAGGGATTACATTGCAGCCTTTCATCGTTATCGGCCCATCTAACACGGATATTTCTGATATTTTTATATCAGTTGAT